CACACAACCAAACTGTTTATTACACCTACAACCACCTGAACACACAAGTACACCATCTGTCAACCCTTTGAAGCAGCTAACGTGTTGACCTGTTCCTGGCCTCACCTTGTAGAACTGGATGGGGGAGGAGCTACTCCCATCGGTGGCTGCCACCACAATGTTCCCTCCTCCGGTGAAGGCGATGTCGGCTAACGCCACGCGTCCTCTCAGGCGGCAGAGACTCTCACTGGCTGTCAGCAGAGCACCACCTGGCTTCAGGAGCGAGACACTGACCAGACCGCTCACCGTCACCGCCAACCAGCCCTCCATCGGTTTCCCGCCAAACAGAATCAGAGATGGAGAGAACTTTACCCGCGAGAACTTCTCTCCGAAGTTTGTTGAGCCGGACTGAAGCGAAAGAGAAGCAGACATGACGTCAGATGTTTACCTGCTCTGCAGCCTGTGATAGGTCACAGTCAGGAGAACTCTCCCCACCATCTCCACGTGTAACGCTAGTTTGACGCCATTGTGCAGCCAGCTCAAAGCGACGATGGGATCTCCTTCTACAGAGCTGGACAGCACACTCTCCCAGCTGTTCACCAGGTGATCCGACATGGACCAGCACTTGATCTGACCGTCACCATCAGCCGACAGCAGCCGAGAACCTTCAGACAAACAGTTAGAGCCCAAAATCCCAGAAACACGTCTTAAAACAATAAGAACGTAACAAAACAACAACACAAACAGAGCACGACAACAACATCTTGTTGTGTGAACTTCACCTGACTGGTCCCACTCCAGACAGGAAATGACCTCAGTGTGTCCAGAGTTGATGGAGAAGACGTCCCACGGGTGCTCAGTGTCGATGATGTGGATCATGTGACTTACATCTGAAACACGGAAACTTAGCTGAGGATGTCTGGAGGTGTGTGTGTGTGTGTGTGTGTGTGTGTGTGTGTGTGTGTGTGTGTGTAACACCTTTGTCGTCGTCCTCGTTCTTCAGGTCTGTGGTGAATGCCACCAGGTTCCTGCAGGACCAGGAGCAGACCAGTGGGATGGAAGGACAGTGAGTACTCTTTGGACGTTTCTCCCACTCGCACACGTATGCCAGCTCCATGATTTAACCCCAGAAGCAGCAGCAGCGCCCAGGTGAGGCCTCACCTGAGGCAGTAAACTGCAGACACACACACAGCAGCTCGTCTGACCATGGGCTGAAAATATTCAGACATTTACTGTGAAATTCAACAGTTTTATGAATTATTTCTGGATTTCAAGGATTTCATCAGAACCAGCGTGTTTCTGATGTTTCGATATTTAGACTCATCTGGGACTGAAAGGTCAAAGGTCAAACCAGACGTTTATCAGCCTGAAATCTGCAGGTGAGCTGAAGAAAAGGGGATTAAAACTGATCAGCTGAAGTTTAGCAGAGCCTGATCATAAAGATCAAATCATCTTCTTTTCCCTCTTCAGGGTCTCCACAGTGAGTCCTCCTCCATCTCACTCTGTCCTCTGTCCTCACTCCAACTACCTCCATGTCCTCTCTAACTGCATCCATATGTCTCCTCTTTGTCTTTTTCCTGCAGCTGCATTTCTAACATCCTTCTACCAACATACCCACTGTCCCTCCTCTGGACATGTCCAAACCACTGTCCCTCCTCTGGACATGTCCAAACCACTGTCCCTCCTCTGGATGTGTCCAAACCACTGTCCCTCCTCTGGACATGTCCAAACCACTGTCCCTCCTCTGGACATGTCCAAACCACTGTCCCTCCTCTGGACATGTCCAAACCATCTCAGTCTGGTCTTAACTTTATCTCCCAGTTGTTCAACCTGTGCTGCACCTCTGATCTCATTCTTAATTAGCAAACCTCTACTCTTCTTTCTCTTTCATTCTCTTCATTCATTAGCTCCTCAAAGTTCTCCTTCCATCTTCCTGCCACTCTCCTCACTTGCTAGAACATTACCATTCATATCTTTAACAGGCCTAACCTGCTGCACATCCTTTCCAGCCTGATCATCTGCATCGTTTTTATGTCTATATTCTGATTTACCTCATTTTGTATGTTGCTTTGTGTGTTACCTGTTGTTCTGTCCGTACGGCACTTTGGTTGGCCTTGTGGCTGTTTTAAGTGCTCTATAAATAAAGTGGTATGGTAACTAACCTGCATCGATTAGTCGGAACATAAATGAATAAAATCTAGACATAAGTAAACTGCAGCTAACTCACCTGAAGCTCCGCTGGGGAAGGAGGAAACTGAAGAATTGTCTCTTACCATGAAAATTGTAGATAAGGTTTAAAATAAACTGAATCAGGTTCAGTTTTAGGTCATTAAATGTAGATTAAAAAATGTAAACTGTTAAAATCGTCGTTCCGCCTTTAAACAAAGTGTAAGGACCCCGCAGATGTAAAAGCTGTCTAAACAGCTGCCTGTCTGTAAAACAAACATTGGGAAAGCTTTCATAAAATACCGTCAGTTTGAAAATTAGAAACAAAAATGTTTAGTTGAAACTAGGTCATATAATGTAACGTATCTGAATAAAATATAGGTAAAGACAGGCGTTTTCTGTAACTCGTTTTATTTGAAAGGCGCGGCGATCAGCACTTTAGCTGGAATACTATTCCCTGAGCTTGGACTTCCAGGCGCGTCTAGCTCAATCAATGGCGAATATAATATAATGTAGCACGTATATGATCCTTCTTCTTTCGGCTTTTCCCTCTTCGGGTGTCGCAACAGCGAGTCCTCCATCTCACTCTGTCCTCTGTCCTCACTCCATCTACCTGCTTGTCCTCTCTAACTGCATCCATATGTCTCCTCCTTGTCTTTTTCCTGGCAGATGCATTTCTAACATCCTTCTACCAATATACCAACTGTCCCTCCTCTGGACATGTCCAAACCACTGTCCCTCCTCTGGAC